AAGGTGCTAAATGGTATATTTATATGATGCCACCATTTGTGTAAAAAAAAGATCACATATGCATATTTGTGTGTGTATTATATCTAGGAAAACTAATACAGAACTGGTAAATGAGGGAAAGTGATAGGGAGGAAGCTTTCATTAAATACCTCTTGGGACCTATGAGTTTGAGCCTATATGACTCTATTACCTATTCAAAGAGAAACAAACTTTAACCTCAACGAATGAACAAACAAAAAGCTCCCCAAGTAAATGATCCTTATGCCAAACAACTTCAACCAGGGAATGCATAAGCACAAAGCTACACACGTGTTCTCAGATTTTAACTGACTTTAAAAAGCCAGCGACAGAGGGAGACGCAGTCCCACCGCTAGCAGACAGAAGAGAGGACAGAAAGGTCAGGGAAGGCTGGAGAAGTAAAGCTGTCTAAAGGTAAGTGGTGTGGGGATGGGGTTGGGGGTGGGCTTGAGAGGTCAGACGGGAGACACAGCAGAGAAGAAAAAAGAGGGCAGGGGGCCACAGAAGAGCCAGGACAAGCTTTGAAGACAAAAGCCATAAACTCACCTATCCACGCCTCCCAGGAGGGAACACAAATCAGCACTGAGGACGGAAGGCAGCATGTCGTAACGACGATCTGCTAAGTAGTAAGTGGTGGCCCTGTGAATGACACACACGTGGCAACGTTACCTTCAATGGAGAGAAGCAGAACTGCTGACTGTGTGGACCGCAGGGAGGCAAATGGCCAAAATCTCACTACAGATTCCCCGAGGCTGCTGCAGTTTCATGAAGTACAGCAGACTGGGTGATGAAGCGATTCCCATGGTCCCACTTTTCTCAGTGAGACTGCTTTGGGCTGAATATTCTTCCACTGATATGAGAAAGAAGGGGCAAGTGACATGAATCTTCACTGAAGAAAAATTGGAGAGTAATGATCCAGTGTTTATATAAAACAGTATATTACTACACAAAAATTTAACCCATTTCGATTTAGTAGGAAACGTGTGAAAAGGTTATGTTAAAAAGGAAAGGTAAATCAACCAAGGTACTGTTTCTCTAAAGGAAAACGGGGAGTGCACCTCAACTTTTTTTTTTTTCTGGAAGGGACCTTCAGAAATGCACAAATATGAGATCTTTGTTTTGAACACCTGAAACTAGTACAGACACAAAATATATAGTCACATACAACCATAGTGTGATTTCAAATAATATTACCTTGTTCTAGCTTCAATATCAATGTAAGAATTTGGTGCCACAAAGTGTGTTACATCTGCAATGTGGACCCCAAGTTCCAGGTCGCCATTGTGTAAGGTTCTGACTGAGAGTGTGTCATCCACATCTTCACAACCTTTGGGGTCAATGCTGAACACAAGATGGCTTTTCCTCAAGTCTTTACGTTCTTGTTCCTCTTCAGGACTCACCTTCCAGGGGTTTTCTGGTGTGTTCACCGGCATCTCACACATCTGCATGAGAGGCCAAATATTCAGCAATTCATGTACCACAGATTTCTATAAAAATCCATTCTCTAATATTCTCAATGTGACCACATACAAATTCATTGATTCTCAATTACCTTCTGCATCAACCTATGTTAGCTTCCTTTGATCAATAATTGTTTATTCATTGCCTCAGATGTCTTGGGTACTGTGCTGGGTTCTGGAAAGTCAGGAGTCAACAAGAAAGACGAAGTTCCCCACCCCTGATGCCCCACACAGTTGGACAGAAGATACCCCACGACGACTACCAGCCTGTTTGGTTACAGGGGCTTGGAATGAGCGTACAACATGCAGCCCATTTTCAAACAATCTGTTTGTCTAAATGTAGTTGAGCTTTAAATTTAAGCCTTGAAAAAATAATAAACATGTCCCAAATATTAAAAGTTTACCCCTTAAAGATAATTTTATACAGGACCTATCTAGGGCATTTTCTCTCCATTATTATCTGTTTAAGCCATCAATTTGCAGCTAAGTAGGCTAACGGGGAAGAGAAAATTCCAGTCCTATGATGTCTAGCCCACACTTTATTTTATTGTAACGTTTTCACTAAGAGCTGCCAAACAAGTCAACAAATAATTTCCAGAAAGTAATGTTAAATATAAAAATTTAATGATGTAAAATATTCTAAAATAATTTACTGTTCTGTGAAAAAGTATAATGAAAATAAGAACACCCAGACACTCCTTATGGCAATGCAAATGGGTCCAATTTTTCTGGAGAACAATCTGCTACTGTATATCAAAAGCTATTTAAAGCTTTTATACCCTTTGACTTGGTAATCTCACTTTAAGGATTACATTCCAAGAGAATGACAGAAAGAAATTAAAAAGCAGTGTTTATAAAAATGTTTGAGCCGGGCGCGGTGGCTCAATCCTGTAATCCCAGCACTTTGGGAGGCCGAGGCAGGTGGATCACAAGGTCAAGAGATCGAGACCATCCTGGTCAACAAGGTGAGACCCCGTCTCTACTAAAAATACAAAAAATTAGCTGGGCATGGTGGCGCGTGCCTGTA